GGTTACAGAAAACAAATCGTGAAACACAACACAGCTCAAATGCTCCCCAAAATGCACCACATATTTTCTACGTTCTAAAGAATACCATATTTCTGAAGGCACCAGCAATCAACATGTTTCTCATTTGAAACGTAAGTTTAATCTGACCTAGTTGTTTCCTTGTAATTTGCCTTGGGCAGACCAATGCCCAAGCATTTTTCTCAGAAGAAGACTAAGGATCATGCAGGATGTGAGTAGACTGAGAGAAAACCATGAACTTATCAGAATATGGAGCTATCTGAAAGGGGTGGGACAAGAGTATTTAGAGGTTTGTGATGCTGCCTCAGAAACAACAAGATTTGGTTGACTGAACACATGTCGGTCTCTCAGAGCTTATAGATTTTACCTGAAGAAACAGACAAAAGTTATTTGAATTGCTATATAATTTGAGGGAAGGTATGTATACCAAAGGTATTTAAAAATTAAGGTTGATAGTCACTACTTTCACACTGTCTTTTTATCATTCAGTAAATAACAAAATCTGGTATTTGGTGAAAGGTGATATAGTGTAATGGAAAAACCATAGTACACCACTAATACCTGTGTAACTTTGGGCAAGCCACTTAACTTCTCAGATCTTCAGTTACCTCATTCAAAATACAGACATAATGATGCTGTGTTGTGTTGAGAATAGTGCTGTGTTGAGCATATGAAAAAGTCCCTAGCCCAGTACCTGGTACACTGAAGAAAATAAATATTAGTTTCTTGTCTTTCTTTACTTATGTTGCCAGAATATCTTAAGTTCTGTGTAACACTATTTTCCCCTCTTTATTTCAGGAAACATGGCCACTAGGCACTTTCAGAGAAGGAAGCGTAAGGGGGTGGGCATCCGGTTTTTATTAGCATAGTTTATAATTCCTTCACCCATCTGTGAACATCTCAATCACTCCCTTTAAAGGAATGATAAGTACAAAAGAGATTAGAAAAATGTTCATGAGATACTCTGAAGTAAAAGGAAGTGAGGCACGATGCTTGACCACATTGTAACTACAGATATCAGCTGCTGTTTGTTGGAAGAGTACAAAACAAACCTTATTGGTTTTAAAGGCATCTAAGCAACTAAGCTAAATGTTTCTGTCCTTCTGGGCTCACAATTACAGTGGATGGGCCTGTCAAACCAGAGAAAGTTGAAGAACCCTGGTGACAATGGAGACACTCTCAACAGTGACAAATTCCTTTCCTCTGCGTTCTCTCTTCTCATTGGGAAAACAGTGATAGGTCTCTTTGGTAAAAGCTAACTTCTATGATTTCATACGTAGAAATCCTTACTCAGAATTTAGAGGGCATTTTTTAAAAGTTAAATTAATTTCACCTCTGTAACACTGGGTTGAAGAACTATGTCTTTAACAAAAGTACAATGTATCTATACTTTTAAGAAGAAAAAGAATCTTAGGAACAGTAAAGGGTTTTGGACCTAGGCGTTTGAGCTATCATTGTCTCTTGGAGACACGTGAATTATGGGCAGAGAGATGGGGAGTTGCCTCTCTAAGAATGATAACTAGTACCACCATCTCACCTTCTTACAGATGGGAAGTGGGTTTCTGTGCAGATTCTAAGTGTGTTAACAGAGTTTAATTGCTTTTTAAACAACAGAGAAGGACTAGCTTTCAAAATCTTTAACTTGAGGGAGATAGGAGAAAACCAGGAGATAAGAATTCTCCTAAATATGCTAATAGTCAAATTGACTAGTGCTATCCTCCTTGCAGGCCACAGACCAAACTAGCCTCTATGCACCTGGGTGAGAAGAACATCTCTGAAAGCACAGAGTACTCTAAAAACTAAATAAGAAAATCAGAAAGAACTGCTTTTACTAGGGAAAAAAAATGCAATGCAGTATGTGTGAAAAGGTTTTTCTTTTTTTTAACCTAAGGCAATGAAATGTTCTTACTCTGTATCAAAAACAACAGACAGCTTTTTCTTTTATATTTTGACAAATATTTCCATCTCTAAGACTGGAGTTCTCTGGCTTTGGGCTAACATGTCCAGGTCTAATGGCATTACAGAAAGAAGGTAAATTTGCTCTGAAGTAATTATACATACAGTCTAGGAAAAGGCCAATTTTACTACGCAAGGACCACACATACTGTATGTTTGTTACATTACTTGATATCAAAACAGAAAATCAAATTCTTCTGAAAACACACATGAAATGAAGAGCCTGGCTAAGGAACTCCCACATCCAATTCAGAGATATCTGTTACAGCTTACAGAACTTGGCAATGTTGACACTACTGTTTTACTGGAAACGGGCATTTTTATTGACTATCAATTATAATACACTATGATTTTGTTAACTATATATAGTTTGCATAAAATGAACATGATTTTGATCCCAATTGTTGTAAAAGAGGTATATTATCAATGTAGGGCAGTAAGGTACCACACCACTAGCATAACAGCAAAAACTTGCTCATCACTGAGACCTCAAAATAAATATTTAATCAGGCATCAAGATCATTATCATAACTTCAGAGGGGGTGGTCTACAGCAAGAATTATCATCTCTGCCTCATTTTACATCACTATGATATTGGTGTGACAATATTCACTCATTTGCTCAGTGTGCACTTTCTGAGAATCTCTACTCAGTGCCAAACCCAGGCCTCGGGAATAGGCATCTAAATGAGACATGGCCCTTAGGGAAATGCGTTCATGGGGTGGGAGAGGGGAGACAGAAATTGAGCCCAATAAATTAGGGTGACGCATGCTACATTTTATATAGCATATGTATATAAATAAAGAAACCATTAGGTAGAGAAAAGATGGTCAGGGAGGGTGAAACTTGAGAGCACCCATGAATAAAGAGGGGTAGTTTCTTGTGTGGATTAGGGGGTTGGTCCTCCGAATCCACAGGGTAGCACGCAAAGCCATGACAGTGTGAGAGACAGGGCCTGCCAACATTTGCTCTTCTTAGAGCAGTTATGTACATGAGGAAAGGGCCTGGGGAAGAAGGGAGGTCATGCTAGGAAGGGCTCTGCACACCATGATAGAGTTTACACTTTATGCTGTAGGCATATTTTTACATATTCACATAATACTCTAAAGATAAAGTAATTAAAGCAGTAGGATACTGGCATAGAGATAAATTAATGGGGCAGAATAGGAAATGGAGAAATAGACTAGAAAAAATTAGATTATGGGTATGTGAGAAGTTAATATGTGAATAAGTTAGCACTTCCATTTTGTGGGTAAAGGATGGATTTTTCCACAAGTGGCATTGGGACAAGTGACCAATCATTTGAAAATAAAATTGAATTCCTATATCCCACATTGCACATGAAAAAAACACTCTCAAATGGATTAAAGATTTAAATGTAAAAAGTACCAGAAGAAAATGTTTATAATCTTGGGATTAGAGGGTGTTCTTTTTAAATGTGACATCAAGATCAGATCTCACAAAGGATAATAGACAGATATAAATCACAATCTTCAAAAAATACAAACTTCTGAAAGGTGTAAGACATTATAGATGTAAGGCAAATGAAAATTGGTAAAAAATATTTGCATTCTATGTAATAGTCAAAGGATTGGTATCTATAATAATATACTAAGCTCCTACAAATCAATAAAAAATCTAACCTAAGAGAAATGAGCAAAGGACACAAATAAGCAATTCATGAAAGAAATAATACCTTATAATACAAAAGTATGCTCAATCTAATTACATCAAAGGAATACTAACTATTAAGATAGTTTTATTTTTCACCTATTAGATTATAAACAAGAGATGCACGTGAGTGACAGATATACCAAATAATGATTGATAACATCCAGTGGTTGAGAAGGTGTGGAGAAATTAAAACTCAAATACTAAGAGTATAAAATTGTTACATACTTTTTGGAAGATAATTTGATAATATCATGTAAATTCATAATTGGCAACTTATTTTATATAAATATATACATATATACACAAATGTGCAAAAATAGTAAAAGTATTTATTGCAGTTATTTAAATAGTGAAAATATGAAAATAACCTAACAGTCCACAGAAAGGTTAATTTAATAAAATGCAGCATGTAGATAAATTACTATACTGTTGTTAAAAAGAATATACTAGCATGGAAAGATATCCATAATATATGTTTAACTGAAATTAATAATTAGCAGAACAGTATCCACAGTACAACCTGCCTAGAGAGGTAGTGAACCACAGCAGTTAGGAGCATGGGCTTTGGGTCAAACAAACCTGGATTTGAGTCCCAGTTCCAATACTAGCCAGATATGTGAAAATTGCTAACTTCTCGAAGCCTTGGTTTCTTCACCTGTCCAACTGGAATGGGTCCTAATAGAGTTTACCTCACAAAGTTATAAAGAGAATTCCTAATACATAGTAGAGGCTAAATAATACTAGTTGTTATTATCACTGTTATCATTTTTGTATAATTGTTATTTTCAACCAGTTCTCTTACAAAAACAACTTCAAAAAGTAAGTCTAATATCCTTTGGAAAATTATACTGGATATAATCTTTAACTAAAACAATACTTCAAAGACAACTTTAACTTATGTAACCACAAAATATTCTATTTAATTGGTCATCTAATAGAATAATAAATTTGGCACATCAATTTATGACACAGATATGTTTTGACTGAATATTCACAAACCAAAATGCAAACAGGAAACACATTTGGGCACCACAGTTAAGAATCAAAATAAAAAACTGTTATGTTTAGATAGTTCCTGTATTGAAATCTAAAAAGCCTTTATGGCACAAATTAGAAATTGTCCTGCAGTCATCAAACTGATTATTAATATCCTTTTCATGGTAGTTTCTATTGTATACACAATCACTTTTCAATCATATTATCAGGAAAAACACAAAAAAGTAGGGAAGCACATTTTAAAATATTTTCCCCTAATAAGTCTAGGAAATATCCCATTCAAAACAAGGAAATACGTTATATAGAAATAAATGCGTACATCAACATAGAGCGTATATGTGAAGAAACATACATACCCTTCTGTTTGGAAAATCATTCGAAAGCTGTGTCCTAAGCTTCTGTAACTGTTTGGATCAGTTGCATCTCTCTGAATTTGGAACCTAGAAACAAAATCAAACAAAAACTTGCAAGTTAATGGGGATGTAATATACAGCACGGGAAATATAGTCAATAATACTATGATAGGGTGGCACAGTGCCAGACGGATGCTGGACTTATCATGGTGATCACTTCTTTAGCATAGGGAACATAATCAATAATACGGTAATAACTATGTGTAGTGTCAGGTAGGTACTGTTGAATAACTATGGTGTACACCTGATACTAATATAATATTTTATGTTATCTATATTTTATAAATATTTAAAAACAAAAAAATCCACATTAAGGATTTTTCCAAAAGGATTTTCTCATTTTTTCAGTCTTAGGAAATGAAGCTTTTTCAGATTAATCGAAAATATTCTGGTTTTTGCTATAGATTTTATTGATTTGTTTGCTTTATATAGTCTTTACCTTACTTGTATAGCCTTTAAAATTATTATGTTTCTCTGGACTTTAACAGAAACTGAAGAAAGGTTTTTTTCCCCTCCATCTGTTTCTTAGCTAGGCAGATACACCTTGAGGCATTTATGCTTTTTTCTTTTGTGAAAAGCATATACAGATGTCATAGATTGCTTTAATGTATAATTCAGAAATCTGAAGATGCATATGAAACAAATAAGTAGTTCTATTTCTTATCTTAATTAGTACTCATTGATGGTAATTTAATACAAAGGTTAAAAATAACGAGCAGCTAATATGGCCTAACATTGATCCTAATTGTGAATTTGGAATTATTCTGGCAGTCAGGAGCCTGTGCTTAGATCAAGAGCCGGCATTGTTTTGTGATACAGTTTACTATCACTACTTCATGATGGAGCAGATTTGGTCATTATGGGTAGTTCAGGCTACCTGGATCTTCATAGAAGTACAATGCTTAGCATACAGTTGGTGCTCAATAAAATGGGCCCCATTTTTGAGTGCTAAATTATTTCTTCTTCTTCTTTTTGGGTATGATCATACATCTTAGAGCTCTAACCTTCAAAATATGGAAATTTCCAGTGTAAGGGTCTTAACATACTCATTTTATATTTTACCCTGGGGTTTGTTTCTAAAGAGGTTTATGACAAGTGCGCTCACTTCCCTACACCCCAGTTCTCCGTTTCCGGATTTTTTTAGTCTGACTACTCCTTGTGTTTAACTTTCTTGTCCCAATTCTGAGTTAAGGCCCTTCTCTCTTATGCATTTTCCTCGACTAGTTTACTAAGCATTTTTTAAAAGAACTTTTCAAAAGCGCCTCTATGATTGTCTACTTTGAGATGCTTTTCTCAGATTGTTGGATTTATGACAGGAACACAACTCCTGCCTCTAAGAGTGATTTAATTTATAATTCTAGGCCCCAGGGAATTATGCTGAAAACTGACCCATATATCACTGAAAAGAGGGGCTATTTTACTTTAATTGCAGCAGTTGGGCATATGAATGAGACAATGATAAGACTGGAAAGGGAGGCTGGCTTACATTTGATTTTGTAAAGTGGAGAGTTGTTGAAGGTGATGGTGCAGGAGAGTAGCGCTTCTGAAATGAGGGAGGTAAGTCTTCCTGCAGAGTGCTTGGCACATAGAAATCCATAAAACATATTTATTGCCTGATTGGATGGATTAGAATGGGAGTATGGAGGGCAGAACAAGAAAGCAATACAATAGTCTAGGTGAAGATAATAATGTCATAATGGAGGAGGCAACACAAATGCATTGAAAGGGGTGAGCTTGTTGGGTAATCCTTTTTCTCTTTAAATAAATTCTTTTTTTTTAATTTTTTATGATACATTCAATATGAACCTCTCTTGATCCTCTTCAACCCAGCAAATAATTCCACAGCCCTAGACCTACTATTATCAAAGTTTAGAATGTCATAAATATTCATTTTCATGGTGGTTTTGCTTGTCAAATTTACACCTATTAGCATGATCATTTTTAGGTTAGTTTCTAGGCAAGAACTATATCTCTAACATTTAAATTGCATGAAGCTTATCAGAAGATAACGGACCGGAACAGCTAACTCATTTAAACTAGTCTGGATCCCGAGGTGCATTTGGTGGGTGAAGACTCAGGAAGCGGTTCTGTCTAGAATCAAGGACGCGATCTGATGGTCACGGGAATGGATCACATTTGGTATTTCTGGGCTTCTGCATGCACATGAGGAACAGAATCTCCATCTCTGCATATGCATATTTGTAACCTATATTTACTACTGAGTATGGACTATTTTCTTATGTCCAGTTGGGAAGTCCAGGACTCTTTTCTAACTGTTCTTAAAAAAAATAATTTAAAAGTTTTTTATGTTAAAAAAGTATTACATGCGCATAAGTTTTTCTCATAATATCGGCAATAATTTTTAAGTTCATTAACCTCTGCCAAATTCCTTTTTAGATGCTTTTCTCCCAAAATGCCAAGTACTTTTAAAAAATATTTGCCATATGAAATAAGACACTACAGGTTTTACAAAAATCCAGGGCATCCAGCACAATAAATAAATGAGAAAAAATAATTAACAATATGAAGAAAAATATCCACCCAAAAGGTCAAGTAGCATCCGCATCAAGTTGCCCAGGTATTCATCTGAGGAGGCAATAACTGCCTTGTGCAGAGAGAGGGTCAGGGAGGATTTCAGGAAGGAGAAAGGGATTTGAGCTGGTCCTGTAGGTTTCAGGGAGGTGAAAAGAGTAAGCCAGGAGGAAACATTTCAGGTGGGGGAATGGGAGAAACAAACGCCAGTGAGGAAAAGCTGTCCTTTCCAGAGAAGTGAAGAAAAATTCCCCACCATGGCAACCTCCCACCTCCACAGTTTCCTTCAGGACAGATGTTAGAGAACTCTGCTGGCGGCAGTCTGTTGCTCAGGGTGGGTTAGAGGAGGGTATTCATGAGATAAAGTCAAAGTCCATTGTAAGATCATTCGACCTTTTCCTGTTCTCAGCTAAGTACTTCAGCTAACTCTGCATGGCTACCTCACAGTTATGTGACCTTGGTCCTGGAGGGTCTGTGAAAGAATCAGCAGAGGGACCCGAGCAAGTACACCCCAATGCCTAGAAAATAGACCTTAGCCCCTCTTCTCCTGCAGGGGTTCGAGACATCAGCTTTGTCTATGATGTCCGCATGTTCGGGTAAGGTGGGTCTTCTCTCAGCTTAAGCAAAGATGAATACAGAGTATAGTTATCTCACAATTAACTGGTTATTGGAAGTCTAGGCACTTCACTCACTAGCTGTAATTTCTTTCTGTTTTCAGAATCTGACAGATGATATTTCCAATCCACTATTCATTCAGTTATTAAGAGTTCTTGAACTCTTACTATGTATTAGGTCTTCCACTATTTGGAGCATTACAGAGAAGTAAGGCATAATTCCGCCCATTAGGAACTTATAGTTAGATGAAGGAGACATGCAAGTAGATGATTACCATATGCAAGGAACAATGTGTAGGAACAGTGTTTCAGAGTATCAGATGCTAGCCAATGAGTTTTATTGGTACTGAGTTAACACTACTATCACTCCTATAGGACATGACCTTGTATCTATGGGTAGACTGTGGCTGACAGAAAATAGTATGGTGTAGAGACAATGGAGGGAACATGGAAAATAAGAAGGATATCATTGGGCTAAAGACGTGTGATTAAACTTTACCCACCCACTTTAGAACAGGCAACAAGGCTAGCCAGTGAAATCCCTGAGGAGTGTTCCATTTAGAAGCTGACTGATGAGTGATGCTCTGTTAATTACAAACAGGAGCGGCAACATCAAAATAGCATTACATGAGGAGAGTCCACAATTGGGTTGTAGAGCAATGCCAGAGGATGGGCAGGCACGGTAAATACTAATCCCACAGCAAGGCCTCCCCACCATTCTTTACTCTGCTTCAGCAGCTGGAGGTCCCATTAAACAGGCCAAGGCAAGAATAGCTGTCTCTTCTACTGCACATTTCACATCCTGCGTGTCTATACTTTGCAGAGAAAGTACATACAGTATTTACTTCCACTACACATGACTTATTCTGATCACAGAGTTATCAGTTCTTCTCAGGGATCTGTTTCAAGTTGATATATATAATTATAGTGCATTTTGGTCAATCATGTAAAACAGCAATTTCCTTCTTCCTCTCCACTACATTTCAGGAACTTAAAAGCTTTCTCTCATGGATTGAAACTTTACATCAGCATTTTCCAAGCTGCATTCTGTGCTAACCAATTCTCTCTATGCTTGGGGAGATAATTTTCCAGTTACGTAATACAACTCTTTGTAAAATTACAAAGGCAAAGCCACACTACTTTTAGATTGTGTTTAGAAGAAAAAGGTTGGACCTTTCCATTGTCCTAATAAAAGCGGCTTAGACACATCTGGAATCTCCATCTGAGTAACTCCTTTTATTAGAAAGAAAACTTGCTGCCAAACTGGCAAATTGGACAATGGACTGTAACACTCGGGAAATATTCAGTGCCTAACATCCGGTCAGAATGAAACGAAGGGAAAGGAGTGTGGCTCAGAGCCCACGCTCCATTGTTCAGGAGCCAGCCATCGCCAGGGAACACAGTATGGTACACGCCTACAAATGGAAGGGAACTGATTGCCCTCTGATCTGCCACACCATAAATATGAAGTGAGTTACAGGGCAAGCAAGGGCTGCTCAATATTCACAAACCAATGCACAAGCATAGTTTTAAAAGCTGAAGAATGATCTCACGCACTAAAATACTTGTGTCTAAACTGGTCAAGAACCATGACTGCAGCATTTTCCACTGATGTCATTGTGTGCTTAGTCAGTGATACCAAATTTCAAACTAGTCTGTTATTGATTCTCAGCACTGTTAGAAGTGCCGCTGTAGGCATTCGGCTTGTCAGGGCACTTCTAAAGATAAGGCCATAAGAAAGACATGCCTGTAAGAAATAAAATGGCTTTGCTGCCTTAAACGCCATAGGATGAGGTTGTTTGAAAACCCCAAAACCTGAAATTTATGCAGTGCCTTTATTTCCAAAGTAATTTTACATCTATCATCTTCTTAAAAAACACT